CCTGTATATTACTATTCAGAATTAATTCTTATGCTGAGTTTAAAGGTAGGGAAATAAACTTTACTGAAAAATGGTATTGCTTCCTTAAATTTATACAGGGCTATCAAAAGTGGCTGATCTGTTTAAGGATATATTTTATATAAAAACTTCGTTATTTCAAATACAACACCCTGTATTTTTTTAAATAAATTGAAGCAGATTCAAATGCTCTTTCAAACTATATTGGGGTTTCCTATACCTATCTAGCTCAGATTTTGCATAAAAAGCGATTTTTAAATAAAATTGCAGTCAAGATGTTCGCTATTGCAATTTTATAGTGACAGTTAGTAACTATTTCCAAAGTCAACATTAGTTTATGGACATTATTATTTATAATTTATAACAGTTTACTTAAATTTGCCTACAATAGTTTAATAAATAAGTATTCATTATTTTATCAAGAAAAATAATGCAGTATCTGCTGGTGGACGAATAGATATGTTACTAGTGATTTTATTTTGTGGGAAAAATTGCTTCTTGGCCTCAAGGGCTTATACTTAAAGAAATCCAAAAAAAGGAATTTTCCTGATAAGCGTTCCTTTGAAAAACTACTTGTCCTATTTCGCAAAGATGGTAGTGTGGTTTCTAAAAAACCTATTAGGCAGAAATCTGTCGTTGGAAATGAAGAAAATGGAATTTGCTATAATTGCCTCTTTTATAGAAAATCCTAGAATCCACTAGAAGTCATCGTAAAATAAATCAAAGAACGCTACTTCTTCGTTTTTCTTGATAGAATAATAATTTCCTATTTAATAAATATTATTTATTAAACTATTGTAGGTAAATTAAAGAAAAAATATGGTATAAATTTAAATAAGTCCATGAACTAATTTTGATTTTGAAAATAGCTACTAACTGTCACTACAAACTTGCCATGACGACACTAGCCCTGTGGGTTGCCATTTTATTGAAAAATTGATCTTTATTCAAAATCTGAGCTAGTTAGGTATAGGAAACCCTAATATAGTTTGAAAGAGCATTTGAATCTGCTTCGAGTTATTTAAAAAAATACAGGGTGTTGTAATTGAAATAACGAAGTTTTTATGTAAAATATATTCTGAATATTTCTGATTGCTGATCTGTTTTAAGATCAGCAATTTTTGATACCCCTGTATAAATTTAAGGAAGCAATAACATTTTTCTGTAAAGTTTATTTCTCTACCTTTCAACTCAGCATAAGAATTAATTCTGAAAAGTAATGTATATGGTGTTAATAATCTATTTTCTTGTAGTATACAAATTTAAATATCTTTAAATATTCCAAAAACCAAAATTTTAAAGATATTTAACCCTTATAATAAATGCCCTTTTATGGACCTAAGAATCCAAAAATGAAATAAAATACAGGGTGTTCCATAAGAAAAAATATAACTTTGGTATGGATCTTAGTTCTGAAACACCCTGTATATTTCAAAATAATTTTAAATTGTGCACATTGCCTCCCCACATATACCCATAAAATAGTTTGTTTCTACATCTTTCCGTTTTCGTATAATCAACCGAGGCGAATGAGGTGCGCCACCCTGAATATTATAATGTGAATTTGATGGCATGATGTGGATCTGTTTTGATCATGTTCTGAATAATCGAATAATAGTAATTCACAAATCGATTATTTAAGTACAATTCTTATTGGAGTACGGACATATTCAGTGTTCAAACAGTTACTGTATTTGCAATATTTTACTATATTTTTTATTCTCTATCTAATTTTAAAATAAGAAATTTTTGATTCAGTTGCTTTTTGTTCTGATTCAGTTCGCGGGGTTATATTTATTTCTATGTATATCGAAACCTCCGTCTAAAGCAAAACCTGTCGATAGCTCTTCGCTGTGTGGACCGGCCGGGGTCGATTCAGTGCTCATCCTCCTTGAAGAACACATTATATAGAATTATTATGTACCGAGAAAAACGAAAAAAAAACAAGAGTGAAACTAAAGCAGTGTTATGAAATATTTTTGAAGTAATTTTCAAAATATTCATGACCTCGAATATTTTCCGGATGTAATTTAACCTCTTGTATTTCTAGTAAAAATTTCACATCAGTACTTTTTAACCAATCAAAATCATTTATTTTGATAGGCCGCCATGGCAACGCATGTATTTTATCGGAAATTTTTCTCTCTACGGTGGGTCATAGACAGCGAATCATAGTGGAACGTTTTTGACATGTATTGAATTTTTGTAAAAACACCTCTAATATATTCAAATCTTTCTCTTAGGTGAATTATGTAGACACACTTGGATGAGAATACGATATAACTATAGAAGGGCCAGAAGGATAAGGACAATTGAAACGCGTCGAGGCGTGAAAAAGAACAGACACATTAGATTCGAAAAAGCATTGACATTCCTAAATCCCTATTTGAAAAGAGAGTTGAAACCATCTGAGGTGCCAATAAGTCCTCCTCGTGAAGACAATGATGCTGCTGAACCCAACCCAACTCTCGATTCAGTGAAAAGCGGTTCGAGGTTCGAAAAGTCGTCGCCGTCGGCTCGAAGTAGCAGCTTGAATCGAACGCGTGAAAATGTACAGCAACCACCAGTGCAGAACCACCTAAGATTCAACCACGGACAGCAGGTATCGCAGCAGTCAAGCGTAGACCCTCTGGATATGTTTTTTTCTTCGATGGCCGCAACGGTTAAAACGTTTCCAGCGCCGTTACAGCTGAACACCAAACAGAAGATCTTCCAAATTGCCACAGACGCTGAAGCAACATTAATAAATCCTGCAGCATCAGAAGTCACCTCTGACCAACGCTATACGTTCTGAAATACATTTAAAAAAAGAAAGAGTCATGAACTATCATGTATGACAACACATAATTTAATAAACTTAAATTTAAGAAGGAATTAATTTTCAGCATTTTTCTTTTGTAGTTATCATTAAAAATATGTTAAACCTGTAGTTATTTTAGTTAATATAGTAGCGTGTACCAGCGACTTCGTTCGCGTCGAATTAATCATTTGGAATGGTAAGGAATGATAAGGCAAAGCAAGAATTTCCATTAACATATAAACTGGATAAAATTTTCTCACATTTATGTCAGCATGAGAAAAAACAATATGGCTATATTATTATATAACTTGGTAATATTTGAGGGGTAGTTTCATCTCGTTGGAATTTGACTTTCAAAAAATCCGTTTGCCAAAAATAAGCTTTTTACGTCAAGCAGTTTAAGCAGAATCGTGGTTAAGAAATTACCCAACTTTTTGGAACACCCTGTATGATTTTTTAAAAAAACTCAAAATATGTAAAAAAAACCAAATAAATTATGCTTGTCCAAGCGTTTTCCTAACTAAAAGACTAACCGTTTTGTAAATAACAAATATTGTAATATTTGAGGGGTGTTTTCACCCTCTTGGAATTTGAGATTCGAGAAAACCCTCCTTATCGAACCTCTACACCCCACAGTCAATCCGTTTGCCAAAAATCAGCTTTAAACGTCAAGCAGTTTAAGCAGAATCGTGATTACTCAATAGTCATATTTTATGAAACACCCTGTATAAATTTATAAAAAAATCTTAAAATATGTAAAACAACAAAATAAAATATACGTGTTTAAGAGTTTTTCCGAAAAACTCACCGGTTTTTAAATAAAAAATCTTTAAATATTTGAGGGATAGTTTCAACCCCTTAGAATTCGAGTTTCGAAAAATCCCTTCTTACCGAACCTCTACACCCTAAAGTCAATCTGTTTTCCAAAAATCAGCTTTTTACGTCAAGCGCTTTAAGCAGGATCGTGATTAATCAATGACCAGATTTTTCGAAACACCCTGTATACATTTTTAAAAAATCTTAAAATATGTAAAAAAGCAAAATAAAATATACGTGTTTAGGCGTTTTTTCGAAAACTTGACCGTTTTTTAAATAAAAAATATTGTAATATTTGAGGGGTGGTTTCACCCTCTTGGAACAGGAATTTCGAAAAATCCCTTGTTATCGAACCTCTACACCCTAGAATCAACCTGTATGCCAAAATTGAGCTTCTTACGTTCAGTGGTTTGAGCAGAATCGTGATTAATCAGTATGTCAGTCACTTAAGGATTTTATATATTAGTACAGATTATAATGTGAATTTGATGACATGCTGTGGATCGGTTTTGATCATATTCTGAATAAATCGAATGATAGTAATTCACAAATCGATTATTTAAGTACAATTCTTATTAGAGTACGAACATTGTTCAAACAGTTACTGTATTTGCAATAATTTACTATATTTTTTATTCTCTAACTAATTTTGAAATAAGAAATTTTTGATTCAGTTGCTTGTTGTTCTGATTCAGTGCGCGGGGTTATATTTATATATTTCTATGTATACCGAAACCTCCGTCTAAAGCAAAACCTGTCGATAGCTCTTCGCTCTGTGTACCGGCCGGGGTCGATTCAGTGCGCGTCCTTCTTAAAGGACACATTATATAGAAGTCTCCTGAAACAGAAAATCATAAACATTTCTCTGCGGAAATGCATATTTTTTTTTCCTTGCGGAAATTCGTCGAAATCGAAATGTTTTTATTTTTTGAAAAGATTATAGTGAAATCAATTTTAAGAAATATAAATATAAATGTAGAGAATCTCAAATGAAATTGTTGAAACCAACGCAATTAAAATCGTATAAAAATTAAGAAACACAACTGAATTGTGACAAGAAAGTTTGAAACCTAAAACAATCTGATTCGTATTAAAATTAAGAAGAGAAAATGAACCACAAAAAGGTACAAACAGGTACCAATGCAATCTGATTTGTAATAAATTTAAGAATAAAAAAGAATCACCATAAAAAACTGTTTAAACGAAGATATTGGCTAAACAACTGCCGCGCTGGCGCGGCGGTATGTATTTTATCGGAAATTTTTCTCTCTACGGCAGGTAACCAACAGCGAATTATATAGTGGAACGTTTTTGACATGTATTGAATTTTTGTAATAACAACTCTAATATCAAATCTCTCTCTTAGGTGAATTCTGTAGACACACTTGGACAAGAATGCGATATAACTATAGAAAAGCCAGAAGGATAAGGACAATTGAAATGCGTCGAGGCGTGAAAAAGAGCAAACCCATTAGATTCGAAAAAGCATTGACATTCTTAAATCCCCATTTGAAAAGAGAATTGAAACCATCTGATGTGCCAATTCCTCGTGTTGCTGTTGAACCCAACCCAAATCTTGATTCAATGAAAAGCGGTTTGAGGTTCGAAAAGTCGTCGGTTCGAAGTAGCAGCTTGAATCGAACGCGTGAAAATGTACAGCAGCCACCAGTGCAGGACCACCTAAGATTTAACCACGGACAGCAGATATCGCAGCAGTCAAGCGTAGACCCTCTGGATATGTTTTTTTCTTCGATGGCCGCAACGGTGAAAACGTTTCCAGCGCCGTTACAGCTGAACACCAAACAGATGATCTTCCAAGTTGCGACAGACGCTGAAGCAACATTAATAAATCCCGTACCATCAGAAGTCATCTCTGACCAACGCTATAAGTTCTGAAATACATTTAAAACCAGAACGAGTCATGAATGACATCACTTTACATAATTTAATAAACTTAAATTTAAGAACGAATTAATTTTCAGTTTTGTGTATTTTTCTTTTGTAGTTATCTTTAAAAATATGTTAAATAATTCTGCAGTTATGTTACTTATATTACTACAATTTTAATTCGAATACAGGATGTGTTCTATTTTGATACTAAATACACTTAAATACTAATAAATATACCTAACTACTTCTAATATACCTAATAGAATTATTTTGCTATACTACAGATGTACTTGCTATACATACATATACATACTGACATTACTCGCTGACGAGTATTTGACACACATAAGAAGATGGTCACGCAAGGCATTTCCTTTACAATTTGAGTTTACAATTAATACAATTCTTCTACAGTTCTATTGTGAGCTGTTTCTTCCCACTCATTCTGCATGTCAATCCCCTTTAAGTTTTCGTGGGAAATATCCTTGTATTTTTTGAGTTGTCCACCCAACCTCCTCCGCGGACGGACTGAAGAAACAGCGTTGTCATGTTCCTACAATTGTACCACTCTGTTAAAATTTTGCTGATATTTATTTATTCTTTCACCTTTTAATTGAATCTATTACCTTTTTCAAAAGATACAAATTTTTAAAATAAAACTTTCGTAATGATTGTACAATAAAAAGTATGGAACTAATACAGAACGGAAGCTTACGTATAGCGTCAATACAATAAAAAATACGGAGCGGATATGGAATGGAAATGGAATGGAAACGGAATCAACCTTTAATGTTGATTCTGACTATACCTTCCTTAATGCTTCCGTTCCGTATCATTTCCATACTTTTTATTGTACAATTAGCATAGATTTAGGAAGAACAGATATCACATTATGCATTTTAACCCGATCAAACATTCGGAGGTTGACTACGTACTGTAAAAATCAACTGAGATAGAGAAGGCGACATTGCCACATATCAAATTTGCGTCTATCTACTTAGTTTGATTTGCAGAAAAGGTGACTTTAAAACCTTCACCGGATATCAATAAATCTCAATTTCTTAATTAATTAATAGTTTATTTTTAAAGAAGCATGCGTAATAATATGTTATTAACCAGAGGATATATGCGTTACTATTAAAAGACATGTTTACTGTTTAATGTGCTGAAACGTCTAGAACTATTGGCAACGTCGCTGCTAGTCTTCCAGAATCTTTGAATAAGAAGACTAAGGAAGGAGCATATCAAAAATCTTAGGTACACCGCGATGGGCCTCAAATATGGCCGACTTAAATTCCGGTTTATCAGTGTCGTTCTAATTTTATTTAAAAAATGTAAAACTATGATGTAGGGTAGACGTGGGGTAGACTCAATAATTTGTTGTTTTATTTTACGTTGTGAATAAATGTTGGTAGCTATTAAAATTGTTATAAAAATATATAATTCTAATAAAAATAGATAAGTTATAATAAGTATTTATTAACACAAACATCCGATACGCTACTGAAGCAGGTAAGTCAAATTAACGTATCTAAATTCTTTGACTAATCTTTGACAAGTAATAAATAAAAGCTAAAATGCAAGAAAAATATATAATTTAGTTAATTTAAGTGAATTTCATAAATGATCGGTTTACTACACGTATGTATATTATATAGTCACTTACTAGCGAAAAGTTGTTCCATTATTTCACTCAATTTTTGCCGAGATCTGCCGCACGCTACACAACCAACTATTTTAGAGTCTTTTTCGATAAATCGCGATAGTGTCACTGTTAATTTAAGTTCTGCCACAATTTCCATCTACATTTACTATCTTTATACAACTATCAGCAGTAGAATAAATAATAAATAACATAAAATAAGCTCCGTAAAGACTGACAAATCCACAAAATTTCAAATCAAATTCAAATGTGTCAAATGAATCGTCAAACAGAACTGTCAAGGATCGCCACACTAGAGAGCTTTATGGTGGCTTTTCCGCCCACCATGCATGAATACATGGATAGCATTATGCTCCTTCCTTAGTCTTCTTATTCAAAGTCCAGAATGAAATGAGCCGTCCGTCCCACATGCGTCCCACCACCCCTCGCTTACGGTGTGTTTGAAGTCGGAATTAACTCCGAAGTGAACTTTTCAGTGTTTTTCATTAGTTTTTGTTTTTGTTTAATGTACTTTTGAATCTGCGAATTTTCAATATGGTACGACAGTGTCAAATGTGTGGACAAATAAGCTCAAATTACCGGAATTTGTCTTTTCACAGGTAGGTATTGTTTCCGCCGCGCCGTAATCGTACATAGGCGTCCCATAAGGGAGCCTCTCACAATTAAAATAATTTCTAATTATATTTGTTGAATTTTGATCTAACTTTTGAACTGTTGTAGATCATAACAAATTTGAATATAAACGTTACATTTGAAACTTTATTATAAGCCAGAAAGTGACATTTTTTTCTTAAAATTGCGTCCTATTTTGGTCATTATATACGATATTCTAAAGGAATTTTGCTCAATAAATAAACAAAGGTGTTTACCCGACCTTTTTTTACATTTTATTGCTTTATTATATCTGCCCCTTCGGCCTTGTTTAGACAATTTTTTACCACCGTACAAATACACCTTCCTAGAGTTATTTGTACGGTGTGTTTAACTTTTTTTAGAATGGGACGAACTGTAAAAAATTCTTAGGTTACTAGTTTTATACATACCTATAAAAAGAGCGACCCAGGCCTCCAAAAAACATTTTACCTATTAGGTTTTTGGTTTGTGATTTTTATTTCAATTTTTTACATAAGATGGGGGCCATTGTAACGCACATTTTCAAAATATTTTTGTCAACATACAGGGTGATTCAAACCGCAATACATATGCTTAATACAGTTCATGAAGATTAAGACATTTAACTAAAATTTGATTATCTGATGAAGCTACCTTTAAAAGTAATGGATTTGTAAATAAACGTAATAGGTATTCATTATTATGCGACAGAAATCCCATACTGTAGCACACAGATTTTATATTTTAATGATAAATGCCTTCTATTGCGAGACTAAAAGGCAATTGCCTCGTATCAGAGCCATCATAATACAAGAAGAAGACCGAAAGAGTCAAATCTTGTCTTATATTTTCAAAAAAAAACACAATTTTCTCATTAAATATTGATTTTAGGTATATGAAGTTATTAATAATACAAGATTACAACTATTACACAGTACTTCACAGGAAGCTATCGATTGCGAACTAACTAAATCGTTACTAATTAGGTACTAATTTTGAAAAGTTCTTTTTAAGATAAAAAAAGGTAAAACTAAAACCTAAACTATCATTTGAGATTAAACGGGAGGTTCTAAATAATGTTGCCTATTCTAAACAAGAAAAATTTATTTATAAGTTAAGTTTTATAACATTCCTAATTAAATTTGGGCGAAGAGAATATTTCTGTTTTCTGTAGGTAATTTTCTCAGGGAAAATACGTAAATAGAAATGACTTTTTAAGTCAAAAAAAGTCAAAAGGACTGTCCTTTTCAAAAAAGGACAAGTGGCAACCCTAGGTATTTCTGGAATGAAAATTTAATGGCAAATCTACAACTTTGGTTTGAAAATATGTACTGGCCACCTATGTTTACAAAAATGTCTAATATGTGCCTAAATACCTCCATATTCTGAAAAAAAAAAATTGAAAGAAAAGTCACCAACCACAAACCTAATATAGAAGTGTTTCGGAAGCCTGAGTCACCCTGTAAATATTCAAAAGTAACTGAAAGTTTATATAGAAGTAACTGAAAGTTTAAATTGAAAATCGACGTTGGAGTGATTTTCGAAAACTACTAACGTTTCAACATAAGTATATGTAGGATATTAATTGTATTATTATATTAGACCTTATAACAAAACTCATCTGACATAAAAGTGTTAATGTAGTATATTAATATGGAGTAAAAATTTTACTAATTACTTTACTTTTACTTTACTAATTAAATTCGTTCCAAAAAACGATACGTCACTGGCCATTAGAACATTCCCAAATGCGCCTAGTTGCCGGGGTCGGAAATTTTAGACTTCTCTGTCTCTTCTGTCCTTGTTTGACACATTGGAATGTTTGATACACTACCAACGAGTATTTATGAATGAGATGTTCGGTCTATCTTTATAATGTCTTTGACAATTAGTCATAACAAGTCATTGTACGTCATCGTACAAGTCATTACGAAAGTTTTATTTTAAAAATTTGTATCTTTTGAAGAAGGTAATAGATTTAATTATGAGTTGAAAGAATAAATATAAATATCAGCAAAATGTTATCAGAGCTGGTACAAATGTTAGAAATTGACAACGCTGTTTCCGATACGCTTCAGTCTGTCCGCCAAAAAAATGTATGGAAGAAAAGGATATGGAACGGAAGGGAAACGGAACGTCTAGTGTGCATTGTCCTATTCATTTACATGATACAATATTTTATGTAAACGGAAGGTAGGTGATACGGAAGTATAGTGGGAATCAACCTTAAAGAAGTTTCACTTCAAAATAGAATTCATTGTCGTTTATCAATCAGTATGATGAGGATTAGCAGGCTGAAAAGCAGCAGCAGTGAAACGTAAACCCTCTGGATATATTCTTTTCTTCGATTGCCGCAACAGTGAAAACGTTTCCAGCGCCGGCGCCGGTGCCGTTACAGCTGAGCATCACCCAGAAGGTCTTTTCAGACCTGTTAAGCAAGCAAAATCTACAAAAGCCTAGAAAAAGCGTTATACATATGAAATATGAACACCTAGCAATTGCTTTTAATTAGAACAAATGCTATTCGAGCAATTATTGCTTTTGCTGAAAAATAATGACTTGATTTTTATTCATTACCCTCACTGAAAGAAGCACACATATTTGTTATAAATATTTATCGCTATTAAATAGTGGCTATTCTTTCTATTTCTTTATTTAATAATAATGTAATTTATTATGTGGTCAATTATGAATTAACCTTCTAAACAAAGCATGCAACTTTGTACAGTAAATACTGATCTAATCTATTATCTAGGTTACTCCTCAGAAAAAAATAAATATAAATAAATTAATTTAAATTCAAAACTAAAGAATTAAAAATGTGCTATTTATTAATTTTGCATTATTTTACGTATTTAATAAACTTTGAATTATTGTGTCAGTTTACCGTACCCTATCTAAATTATACAATTTTATATAAAACTAGCGTGTACCCACGACTTCGTTCGCGTCGAATTAATCATTTGTAATGATGATGAAAAAGCAAAGCAAGAATTTCCATTAACATACAAACTGGTTAAAATATTCTCAAATTTATGTCAGCATGAGAAAAAACAATATGGCGATATTATTATATAACTTGGTAATATTTGAAGGGTAGTTTCATCTCGTTGGAATTTGACTTTCGAAAAATCCGTTTGCCAAAAATAAACTTTTTACGTCAAGTAGTTTAAGTTCAGAATCATGGTTCAGAATCATGGTTAATCAATTACGCAACTTTTTGGAACACCCTGTATGACTTTTTCAAAAATTTCAAAATATGTAAAAAAACAAAGTAAATTATGCGTGTCTAAGCGTTTTCCCGAAAGACTAATCGTTTTTTAAATAACAAATATTGTAATATTTGAGCGGCGTTTTTCCCTCTCTTGGAATTTGAGATTCGAGAAATCCCTCCTTATTGAACCTCTACACCCCACAGTCAATCTGTTTGCCAAAAATCAGCTTTAAACGTCAAGCAGTGTAAGCAGAATCGTGATTACTCAATGGTCATATTTTATGAAACACCCTGTATAAATTTTTAAAATATCTTAAAATATGTATTATATATATCTTATAATATGTATATCTTAAAATATGTATATGTATTTGAAGTGAAAGCTGCCTTACTCTCTATAATTGAACTCGACATTTTATAATTTGAAGTAAGAAATCCCATATTTTGAAGTCTGCGATTATGTATTTGCCTATTTACCATTTGTTTAGTCAATAATGTAGTCATTGCGTCGGTATTGTTTCCCTGCACAGACCTGTCGTTATAGCCTAAGAGCTGACGACATATTTAGAAAACATATTTTAGGCAAGCTAGAATAACTAAAAATTTATAGTTTATTAACTGGTGAACCTATAATCCTGGAAGTCTGGCTGGGGGGTTGGGGGTATTTCGCTACTGCGCAATCCATAACATTTGCAAAAAAATAAATCCAAAAAACATTCTTTAGGCAACTTGAAATTTGTTTATTCTTAAATTTTAGCATCTATTTAACCTAGAAATAAGTGTGCCAGCCTTTTTTTCGGGTTTAAAGTGTAACCAGACCATTCCAAATATGTTTAATTATTATACCTGGAAAACATACTTTAGGCATTCTAAAATTTTTACAGTGTGTTTATTAGAAAGATGATATTAAAAAATATGTGCTAATTGCCAGAATAATTCAATGGGATTTAATACTTGCCAGACGCGAATAAAGATTTTAAATGAGCGCGATAAGAAAGTCTCATGAGTATCTATAAGCGCGAGAAAGATAGTTTATTGAGACCCGGTCGGCAGCCGATGCGGCTGACCTAACAGCATTTTGGAGTCGTAAAAACTTAAAAAAAACTAACTAATATTGAACAAATAAAAAGAAACATTTTTTAATAAAAATGTATGATTGAAATCCTTTCAATAAGAAGACTTTTTAATTTAAGAATTTTTTATCTGAAAGAATAAAAAGACGAATAATTATTTAAAAATTAGCATAATATAAAATATATTTTTTCAAACGTCACAAAAGTATAATTAGTATTATACTTTTGTGACATATTATATTATTATTAATTTTTGCGATCTGATTGTCAATATAAAAAAGTCATTTTAACGTCTAAGCATAAAAGTAAAGCACTTTTACTTACTTTTGAATCTATTTAGAAAGATTAACAATGGTACTTTAATAAAATTCCAGAATACTTATTTTCTTAGCACTGTACATGGTACCCTTTTGTCGGGACTACGTTTTCTGGTAAAACCACTTCTTTAAATTTTAAACCATGTTGTTGGCGCACTTTAAAAATTCTTTGCATTTTTGTAGTCTGCCTTCATCAAAAACAATAACTGTGTCACTAGTGTCACTAACTTTTTTACAAACTACACAACTTAAATGTTTTTTATCCATTGTGATTTAGTAGTTAGTAGCGAAATTAGTAGTTACTAAAATATTTATTTGCAGTAATTATTCTAAACTATTTACACTATGCACGGCAATATTTAATTTATAAATACATATTTGTACATGGTAACTTAATTCCAACAAAATAATCTCTGAATTAAAAGCCTGCAAATAATTGAAATGAAACCGAAAAAAAATTGTTTTTATGAAAATTTGAAGTACTCCACGGGTTTCAATAAACTATCTTTCTCGCGCTTATAGATACTCATAAGACTTTTTTGTCGCGCTCATTTAAAATCTTTAAGCGCGTCTGGCAAGTATTAAATACCATTGAATTCGTCTGACAATTAACACATATTTTTTAATATCATCTAATAAACACGCTGTAAAAATTTTAAAATGCCTAAAGTATGTTTTCCAGGTATAATAATTAAACATATTTGGAATGGTCTGGTTACACTTTAAACCCGAAAAAAAAGTCTGGCACACTTATTTCTAGGTTAAATAGATGCTAAAATTTAAGAATAAACAAATTTCAAGTTGCCTAAAAATGTTTTTTGGATTTATTTTTTTGCAAATGTTATTGGTTGCGCAGTAGCGAAATACCCCCAAACCCCCAGCCAGACTTAGGATTCTGGGTTCACAAGTTATTAAACTTTATTTTTTTTTGTTATTCTAACTTGCCTAAAATCGCTCAGTCGCCAGCTCTCCGACTATTAGTTTACATTGACAACTCTTGTTTATTTGAATTTATCCCTATTTCCTCTTGATTATTTGAACTTCTATTATCTTGAACTCTCTTTATATTGAATTTTTTTCCTGGTCCCTTGAGTTTCAAATTATTGAGAGTCGACTGTATTAGTATAGATTACGACACTATCGGTTGGTTTACTATATTTTTTATAGTATTGCAAATACGATCAATAATTCTCCAATTTCCCCTAAATAATACTGTTCGGAGTATTCTGAATACTTCAGTAAATATTATAGTCTTCTTTCTGGTTTAAAATAGATATTAATTAAAACAATACTGATATATTTTAATAATTCATAAAACTACAAGATAACTAAGTTTAATAACTTTAAGTCAATATTATTGATATACAGAGAAAAATGATAATATGAACTGGATACAATTTAACAGCTCGGGGGTTTAGCTAAATACCGTATGATCGAAAAAAAACGGCGTCCAGCTGGATGGGAAATGATAATCGATGACATTCCCCATATAATTTTACATATAAACACTTTAGTTAACTTTCTTTTACATATAAAGTAACAGTGATTTTTCTTACATAGACACCGCTGATGCTGCTTTACAATTATAGAAAAATTGTAAAATTGAAAACAATACAGTTTTGAACAAGATATTTTTTTGCAATAAATATTTATTTTATATAGTTAATAGCTTATTTTTAATATAACATAAAACGAGTGCTTAAGGGACACTCAACAACTCGAGCCCCAGTAATTTGCTTTGTACTATACAGATCAAAAGTCAAATTTCTCATGTCAAAAAACTCCCAGACACCAATTTTCATCCAAATATTGACGTTACTTCATAAATTATTTGGAAAAAATCGAAATAAAAATGAGAGTTCTACACCCTGTATCTCCGAAACTAAGCATTTTAGGACATACATTTATACGAACTTTTTTACTTATTTTAATCTGCGGAATATGCTGCCGAAGTTTCCGGAATACAGTTCGGACCACCCTGTATAAAAGTCACCCTGAATAATTATACAATACATATACACGTAACAAATCGTAAAACGTAAAAAATCACGGAAATGCATATTTTTTCGCGTAGTAGTTTTATACAGGTACGATCAAAAAGTTATTAATCTTCAAAACAGTTAAAACACGTGTAGGTGGCGCCCCCTACAAATAGGAGTCATATTGACATCAAAATCAAATTTCTCATATCAAAAAACTCCCAGACACCAATTTTCCTCCAAATATTGACGTTACTTCAAAAATTATTTGGAAAAATTCAAAATAAAAATGAAACTTCTACACCCTGTATCTCCGAAATTAAGCATTTTACGACATACATTTATACAAAGTTTTTTACTTATTTTTATCTGCAGAATATGCCGCCGAAGTTTCCGGAATACAGCTCGGACCACCCTGTATAATAATATAATATACACAATTGCTTAATTAAGCAATTTAACTTACATAGCTAACTAACTAATTAGCTTTATCGTTGTTTTTTTTAGTTTGAATGATAAAAATTTATAGGTACCTACCTATAGTAGGTTTTTTTGGATTATTTTGAGAATGATATTTCTACAGTGATGTCATATCTCACATATAGTATAGTTCATATCAAATAAATTTTTAGTCACGTGATCAGCACAGCGTTGCCCACTTTTACATATTTTCTTTTAATCAAAATATTTCAGGAAACAAACATAAGTTAATTATAAATATATAAACAGTTATTATTTATATCAACAAAACTCACCCTCTTAACAGCACTTAAGGGACATAAAGGGCCATTACTACCGCTTTCCCGTTCAAAATATTCTAATAAAGTTGCAATGAGTTTTTTACGTCTATTAAGCTATCTTGTACACTTCACACTAAAAGACGTTCTAAAAAGAACAATGTTTGACTGCAAGGTCTGCTAGTAAAAATTTTTAAGCTTAAATTATCACAATTCATTTAAACCAAAAACTCGTAAAACAAAACTAAAGTGTCAAAACGAATGAAAATGTCAGAAAATAAATAATTCAATGTGCCAATTTGACATTCTTTACAGCAGAGCTACCACCTGAATCCCCAGCGGGAAATTTAAACTCTTGTTAGTCAGCCTGTCGCCGAATATGTCCATAGTTGGCAACAGTGAATTTAAAAATCGCGCCCTCGATTACGCAACTAAAAGTTTAATTGGTATCGAATATAGTATACCATTTTTCTACGTGTATAACGTACATTTTCACATATATTAATATATTATCATCGAACTGTTGTATTAGTGTAAAATATAAGTGATCGTCTGAACAACCACGAGTATTATTAAATATTATCCGCCTCGGCTGGCGGTATATCATAAAATGCGTGTCGTGAATACATCAACCGTATTAATTTTAATAGTTGCGAGGGTCAGTTTTGGATTAAAATATGATAATCTTGAAGATTTCGTTGATATGGTTGAGGACAACATCAACAAAGCCCTTAATTATACAATTTCAAAAGATAATTCAGATATTTTGAATTTGTCTAGTTCTACAGCAAAAGGTAAGATAAATATACAGTACGACCCCGGGTTGTCTTTACAAGAGGAAAAACTTTTTTATTATTGACATTTTGTTTTGTATTTTAAAATGGTTAATCCCGTTTATACTTCTCCAAATTTCCATACCGTTTTAGAAAGCATTAAGAAAAACATATCGCTGAAAGTCCTAAAAATCAAAAGGCATTTCTATGGTAATATAATTTAGATTTCATTCTTTGATAGATGATTATTTTTAATTTTGATAACGCCATATTTTTTGCTGTTCTGAAATGTTAAAAAACACAAAATTTATTTAGTTCAATGCTACGGAAAAGGTGATAATAGAAATTATTGGAAATTGTGATACTTTAACAACAACAAAAAATGTAACATTAATCAGAATTAATAATAACCATCTATCAAAGAATGAAATCGAAATTATATTACCATGGAAACGCCTTTTGATTTTTAGGACTTCAACCATAATGTTTTTCATGTTTTTTTTTAATTTCTCTAAAACGCTATGGAAATTTGGAAGAGTATAAAGGTTGATTCTCACTATACCTTCCATATCAGCTCCCTTCCGTTTACATAAAATATTATATCATGTAAATTAATAGGAAAATGCACACTATCCGTTCCGTTTCCCTTGCGTTCCATATTAGTACGAGAGCTAGCAACGTCGGAAAAACAAGTATTTTAAGACGTCTGGCTCTTTGATATATCTTTTACTACGCTCTCTAGAACAGCATGCGGCCCGTCTGGCTGCCGGTAAACATTGCGTTCCCTACTGCGCATTGAAAGAAGATCCTATATTTTTATTAGTCGTTTAAATTCTAGTATTGAATATAAATCGAACATGTCTCCATAGCGCAGTGCGTAGAGTTTCCGACAACGAACCGATGATTCAGAGTTCGAATCCGGGTCAGGACAATGCCTTTTTTATTTTATTTTCGTTTATATTCTAATAGTAAAGTATTAAATACTTGTTTTTTTTAATCGCCAGATTTATTTAATACTTTATTGTTAGAATATAAACGAAAATAAAATAAAAGTGTTTGCCCTGACCCGGATTTGAACTCTGAATCATCGGTTCATCGTCGGAAACTCTACGCACTGCGCAATGGAGACATGTTTGATTTATATTCAATACTAGAATTTATAGGATTAAATTAATAAAAATATAAGATCTTCTTCCGATGCGCAGTAGTAAACGCAACGTGTATCGGCAGCCAGACGGGCCGCATGCTGCTCAAAAGAGCATAGTAAAAGATATATCAAAGAGCCAGACGTCTTAAAATACTTTCTCAAAAACGTTGCTAGCTCTTAGACTATATCCTTTCCTTCCATACATTTTTTTGACGGACGAAATGAAGCGTATCGGAAACAGCGTTGTCAAGTTCTTTAAAGACCAGCTCTGTTAAAATTTTGCTGATATTTATTTATTCTTTTACCTCTTAATTAAATTTATTACCTTTTTCAAAAGATACAAATTTTTAAAATAAAACTTTTGTAATGATATAAATTGTACAATAAAAAGTATGGAACTGATACGGAACGGATATGGAATGGATATGGAATGGAAACGGAAGGTATAGTGAGAATCAACCTTAAATGGGATTAAGTAGCGTTTTAGGACAAACATTTGCAAACATTTTTATGGAGAATCTTTCCTCTTGTAAAGACAATCAGGGGACATACTGTATACAAACTAGCTAATTGGTTTGCAAACTAAATTACAATATTTGTTTTGGTTGCTAATTTTATAGGTACTATTCTTTTAATTATAAAACCAACTAGTGTAGTTTGTTTGTATGTATAATGACCAGATAAATAATTATGATTTTTTTCTAATATTTATGTTAACACATTATTAGAAATCTGCCCTAGTTTCAGGGTCTATTTTTCATCTGGTCGGGCCCTAAGGCCCAAGCAAAAATTCGGGCCCTTTTTTCCAATAAAATTCAAAAATTCAAGAAATTATGAATATTTTACAACCTTTAATGGGCCCCCCAGACCACCGGGCCCAAGCCCCGGGCCTTATGGTAAAATAGGCCCTGCCTAGTTTTAATCATCCATAATACCCCTATTTTTCGCTAGTTTATAAACTGACAGTATGGATCTTATTTTCTATAGTTTGCTTATGCGAAAATTTATGTTTATTTCTGAATTTATTTATTATACGGTTACTGATATATAACAAAATTTTCGGAAACCTTATAAGACTTACTTCTGCTACTATTATGATGAATAACATAATGTCGCTTCTTTAAATTGAATTATTGTTGATTTTATTATTATTCCCCAGAAACTTTAAGGAGTGTGGGGAAACTTGGGGTACTGTATCAACAACATTATAATTTGAGATATTATGTTAGTCATCACTAAAGTTGCACAGGCAAGTATTTCCTTAACAAAATACAACATAGCAGAAAATTGTATAATAAATAATTACCTATCTCAAGAAGTAACAATGCCCGTATGGAGGAATTTAAGTTCTGGTGGTTATTATTTTCATAGTTTCATTCAGAACCTCGCAATTACTGGTTTCAATTAGCGTAGAAATTTGTTCCTTTAATTTCAATGTAAGCCTTCAGAACGTCAAAATTAGTGGTAGACATTTTCAATTAATATTAGTTTATGAACAATAAATTTTTCATTTCTAACCACCATTTCTCTTGAGGGATGATAATCAAGGGTCAAAGTGACATTACTCGCAAATTTTAAATTATAATTAGTGGAAAAGTTAAAAGTTTGGTAACTTTTTCCACTAATTGAAAATTACTACCACTAATTTTGACGTTCTGAATGCTTACATTCAAATTAGTGAAACAAACTTCTACGCTAATTGAAACCACTAATTTATTCCACTAATTGCGAGGTTCTCAATGAACCTAAAAGTTCATTCAGAGCTAAAAGTTCATTCCTGACCACTAATTTATTCCACTAATTGCGGGGTTCTGAATGAAGCTAAAAGTTCATTCAGAACCTCGCAATTAGGGGAATAAATTAGTGGTTTAAAATAGCGTAGAAGTTTGTTCCTTTAACTTCAATGTAAGCATTCAGAACGTCTAAATTAGTGGTAGTAATTTTCAATGAAGTTAAATACTTCTACCCCTTTTTCGTCGTCCCGCTGGTGTCCAGTTGTCAGGATCTGTTTTGGAAGCCTCTCCGCTGGCATTCTTTGTACGTGTACGTATTCGAATTCTGTTGTTCGTACATCTTTCTCTTCTGGATTTACATGCGGCCCGTCTCCAGAAATCTATTTCTGTCTCTTCCAGGGTGCGAGACTTGTCATATATATTGCCATATATTAGCTGCCATACCTTGCTGACATAGCAAACGATGCTTTTAACCATTGTGCGTTTGTTGGATTTAGAGATGTTACTATCCCACAAGACGCCATTTAACATAGAGATTGCATTTTTTCCCTAAGCATTTTTGTCCCTTCAATTCTTTTTGGATTTTTTTTTGAAATGTTGGCTAGTAGTTATAAATCAAAAGCTTATTATTTTATAAGCTAATTTTTGAGTTTTTTTCTGTGCTAACTTTTTTATTGTACAAGTGACTACCCCAAGCCGTTGCTAGGATTTTTTACTAATTTTAATTCTGTTACTTGAGCTTCATTCAGAACCTCTAAATCAATGGAATAAATTAGTACCTAGTAGTACGAGAGCGAGCAACGTCGGAAAAACAAGTATTTTAAGACGTCTGGCTCTTTGATATATCTTTTACTATGCTCTCTAGAACAGCATGCGGCCCGTCTGGCTGCCGGTAAACGTTGCGTTCCCTACTGCGCATTGAAAGAAGATCCTATATTTTTATTAGTCCTTTAAATTCTAGTACCTATTCAATATAAATCGAACATGTCTCCATGGCGCAGTGCGTAGAGTTTCCGACCTCGAACCGATGATTCAGAGTTCGAATCCGGGTCAGGGCCAAAGACTTTTTTATTTTATTTTCGTTTATATTCTGATAGTAAAGGAATAAAAAAATGTTTTTTTAATTGCCAGAATTATTTAATACTTAATATTTTATACTTAATATTCAACAAAGTAACTGAGAAATTAATTCAACTATAACTGTAAAATATTTTACTAAGCTAAATTGTTTTTGCCGTCAGGTTTCCCGGACTCTTTTCCAAATCCTTTTCCAAAATCCGTACATGTCCGGGTAAATCCAGACTTATGGAAACCCTAAGTATAAAGCATAATAGAAAGCACTAATTTATTCCGCTAATTTCGATGTTCTGAATGAAGCTTTAGTTAGTTTGAATAATTTTTGATTAGTTTTAAAAGTAGCCAAGTATCCATTCTCGCCCTAACATATAAGAAGCAAGATGATACTTTATTTTTTGTTATTTTCTAGATTTCGGAACATTCGATTTTATAATTATTGGAGGAGGAGCTGCGGGAGCTATCCTAGCTAATAGACTGACGGAAATTTCAGAATGGAAGATTTTACTTTTAGAAGCCGGTGGATTACCTAATGATTTTACAAAAATACTTGGCTTAAGTCCTTATAATTACTTTTCCACTCGAAGCTGGGGATATAATAGCACATCACAGAAACATGCTTGTTTAGGTAAGGATATAGATTATTCTAAATTCAAAAAGCTTAGTTTATAAATTCTAAAATAAATAGTTACTACGAGGTTTAAACCTAGCTTAATGCTGTTTTTCTAATGTTATCTTGTAGAATAACACGACTAAAATAAACTTCTAAAATATCTGTTTAATTTAAAAAATTAGCGGGTTATAAGATCTACCCACTAAGGAAAATTCATAGGTATATACAGGGTGTTCCAAGATTTTATAGATATAGAGCTACTACTTATTTTTGAAATCACAATACGTTCAATGGACCCCCACATTTTGCTTCTACAGGGTGTTTCAAAAAACATGTGCCATCTCTCGTGGGGAGATTCCTCACGTAAAAATAAGATTTAGTTTTCATATCAACATAGGTCCGAATCTGCTCTTTTTCGTAGCTACAGGGTGTTAAAGTCTTAATAATCTTTTAGTGATTCGGCTGAAATTTTGAAGGTAAAAGTTACTATAAGTGATACATATTTTAAAGCTAAAAAAGTGTCGATAAGTTCATCAGGGACGTGTATATGGGTTATCACTGGAATATTTATTAAAAAAATATGTGCGCCACTAAACTTTTGAAGGTTTTCGGTGTATTAAGTGCATTTGAATGGATTTAAGACAGTTTTAGTGGACATACTATATTTTTTTAGAGTTTTACTGTACTTAACGTATTATAATTGATGAACTAGATAGTTTTTTAAAATTATTTATCAAATTTTCCTTAAAATTGGAGATAATTCCTACCTGTAACAGCCTATAATGTTCATTATTGTTTTTGCTGAGCGATGTATATGTATAATATTTTTTTTTTGTTTTGTTTCTTATATACTATATATTTTTTTCTTTTTATTCTTGGCTTTAGGCCGTTGGGGTTGCAAAGATGTTACTAGATTTTATTCATTATTTTATTTTTATGACGACGTTTCGACAGTATATGTCTATTTCAAGTCTATTGAACGTAGATTCCTACAGAATTAAAAATTGTTAATAGTTGAATCTAGTAGGATCAGAAGATATGCCAGAAATATCAACCACAGAAATTAAATACGCACTTCAACAAATAAAAAATGGCAAAAGCCCAGGAGAAGATCGTATTACACCTGAAATGCTGAAGATGGGCGGAAAACCATTAGTGGATGTCGTGGAAGTATTGTTAAATAAATATCTGATGGAGGGTAGAATCCCGGACGCATGGAAAAACGCAGAAGTTGTGCTATTATACAAAAAAGGAGATTTTACAAATATAGAGAATTATAGACCAATAAGCCTTCTCTCGCATCTATACAAGCTCTTCACTAGGATTATCAACAACCGACTGTCTACGAAACTAGATTCCTATCAGCCAATAGAACAGGCAGGCTTCGAAAAGGTTTTAGTACCATCGATCATCTACAAACAATTAAAACAGTCATTGAAAAAACAACAGAATACAATATACCTCTACATTTGGCCTTTGTAGACTACCAAAAAGCCTTTGACAGCATCGAAACCTGGTCATTTCTAGCTGCAAGGGAGGACGCGAGAATTGATTCCAGATATTACTCCATTATTAAAAATATCTATGATAGTGCAACCTTCCAAGTTAAATTAGATGATCACCTCAAAACAGAAAAAATACCACTCGGTAAGGTTGTGAGACAAGGAGATACCATCTCTCCCAAGTTATTTACACTGGCACTGGAAAATGTCTTCAAGAAATTAGAATGGGAAAATAGAGGTCTAAACATCGATGGGGTACACCTTAGCCATCTGAGGTTCGCAGACGATATTGTCTTGCTGAGCACCGACATTCAAGGCTAAACACCATGCTAAATGAGCTAAATGAGCAATCCCAGAAAAATTGGCCTTAAAATGGGCAGAAGAAGACCAGATAATGAGCAACAATATCCGCCATTACCGTGGACAACGTTATTATTGAAAACGTAGACCATTATATATTTAGGTCATAAAATGTTGGGCAAGGAAAACCAAAATACGGATATTAAACGCAGGATCCATTTGGCATGGGTAGCATTTGGAAATATGAGCGATATTTTCAAGGATAAAAAGGTGCCCATGAACCTAAAGAAAAAGGCTTACGACAGCTGCATTCTACCTATGCTTACGTATGGCTTAGAGACTATGGCAATTACTCGAAAAACAGCAGAACAACTACGAGTAGCACAAAGAGCCATATAAAGAATCATGTTGGGAGTCACCATTAGGGAAAAAATACGTAATACCCACATACGTCAAAAAACAAAATTAATAGATGTCGTTAAAAGAGTGGCAAGTCTGAAGTGGCAATGGATAGGACATGTGGCAAGACAGGATCCAGACCGATGGCCCCAAAAAATAATCCTATGGAGACCTAGTGGAACAACAAGAAGTGTGGGCCGACCAAAAAAGAGATGGGTCGATGACGTCAGGGCAGTGGCGGGAAGACAATGGATAAGATTGGCTAGAGATCGCGAAGCATGGAAAAACCTAGAAGAGGCCTATATTCAACACTGGATGGAACCAGGCTGAGAAAGAAGAAGAAAAATAGTTGAATCTACGTTCAAGAGACTTGAAAAAGACATATACTGCCGAAACGTCGTCATAAAAATAAAATAATGAATAAAATCTAGTAACATCTTTGCAACCCCAACGACCTAAAGCCAAGTATAAAAAGAAAAATAATAAATTATTTCGACTAGCTGGCGATATTTTAACATGGTAAAAAGCGAAAACTATTTTTTTTTCGAATACAAATATTGCTTAAAAATGTTAAATGTCAGCAAAATTAGAGAAAAATAAATAAATACTTTATAGAAAAACAATTTAACTTGTGTAATTGTTATTATTATTAAACAATTTGTTAATGGTTATTTTAGATATCGCATTAGTTTGGTTTGACTTAATCGCGGCAACTACTCTGATTGGTTCAAAGTTGCGAGGCAACCTGTTTAATGTAATAACCTTGGACAAGAGCCACCTCTAGGAATCAATCAATCTAAGTCAGCTTCGGAAAAATATTTTTTTTTTCAAAAAGCGCGGTGGCGTTTTTTTGGCTGCAAAAAGTGCAGTAAATATTAGAAGGACCATTTTCAAAAAAAAATAGATGTCAAATATTAAAGCGTTTAGCAAAACATAGAAACCTCCAAATCTCATTGAAATCGGAATATCGATTTTTAAAATATCTTAAAAAATGCATTTAAGTTTTTCAAGTTTGTTGTCCTCTAACGGACAAACGAAGCACTTCCACGGAATATTGGGACACACTGTATTTACTCTTGTCGTCAAAAGTAATAAAGAAAACAATATTATTATAATAGTTTAACTAGAACGATACCACTTAAAGAATGTTTACTAGTTACGTCTATTTATTTATTTAATCTATGATGGTGCTGATAAACTATCTATCACTACAATCAAACCAAACAAAACAAAATCACATTTGAAATTAAGAATTACTACCGAATAACACTTAACAAAGTAAATCCGAAAATAAGTAATCGTACATAAGATATTCTGTTGTTTATTAAGAGCTAATGTTACGTATTTACTTTTAGATAATCCACGTAAGGATATGTACACATCCAGCTAATACCCAAATATGCATTTGCATTTTATTTGTCCTTATTAATAAAACTGCGGTTTTGAATCTCCATTGTCTTTATTTTATATAATCCAGTTACTTTTGGGTCGGTATTTATATGTGTGGAAGTAAATCGCATAGGGATCTTATTAAGTCGGAGTGAGAGAAATGCGACGGTGTGCTGCTGCGGCGTTGCCAGTGCGTCTTTCCCTATCAAGTAATGTCACGATCACAAACTGCTTATTTTTAAAAGGTTTTATTTTCGAAAAGATAACTAGATAATATCATTAGATGTGTTTCTGAACATCTGAAATGGAATTATAAGGATATCGTTGAGCCCATATAACACACAATATCCGCAGGATATTCATAGAATGTCGGAATGTCCCATTATAAGACCATCTTATAAAGACATCTATAGGATATCCTCCAGACATCCTGAAATCCTGTAGATGTCTCAGAATAGAATATCCTATGGATATCTCTGTCGTATATCTAATGTACATCCAGCTGAGATATCCAAACATGCTTATGATAATAAAATATCCTAACAATATCGTTTAGATATTTAGGAAAAATAAATAATGTACTACTTTTAATATTACATAAAATGCAATAAACCATACAGATAGATATATATTACGTCAAGGCAACAAAATATCCTGTTGGTATCTTCTGGATAATCTGGATATTTATGAGCTTGGCTCCCAGTAATACAGAGAATTTAAAACGCCCGCGCAAAAAATTTCCCACAATCCATCTCGACAGTTGTTTGTTTTTGCATCGTGTATTATTCAGTTCTTTGATTTAGTGAAATTCGAGGTGAATTCGGTCGTTTGTCGATATTGAATGGACTTAAAAATGACTGAAACTAACAAAACTGGTTGAGTTTGACTTAGTTTTTTCTTATACTCATAATGTGTAGCCTTGTTCTAGCAGAAATTCTATCCTAACCTCAACTAATGTCGAAAAACGACGAACGACTCAGGGTCTCACAATGAAAAATTTGTGACAAAATTATAGGTGAAAATTTGTTGAAAAGCGCTTGTTTTTTATCCCTAAACCCATTTTCGTGTTTGATCTATTCAAACAGAAATCCTATTTTTGTGTTTAAATTGTGAGTTTCTGGAATGTGTAGTGTTAGAAATTATACCTGTATCCTGTGTCCTAACTTTGATGTAAACTGTTGCTGCTAGACATAAACTGCTAGATTCCATAAAGGGTAGTATAATCTGGTATAATACCATACGATCGAAAAAAACGGCATCAGAGGTGGCTTGGAAATGAAGATTGCTGTTATTTTGTATGTAAAATTATATGGGGAATGTCATCGATCGTAATTTTCAAGCCAATTGAACGCCGTTTTTTTTTCGATGGTACAGTATAAATTGAAAGCTCTTAACTCATACAAATAAACTTCTAAATTTTGATGCAAAATTCATTGACATAATATGTAGGTATATTTTAGAGCTGTTAATAAAAATATCCAATGAATAACGTCAAAATGTGGCTAAATAAAACTAAATTGCGAACGTTTTTACTATAAACTAAGGATGAAGTAAGTATTGTCAAATAACAGTCCTCATATGATATCATAAAAATATTCTATAATGCTCCCAACATCATCCTTGTATTATCCTAGAAATATCCCAAATAATCGTAAAAGGCTTGCCTAGGGATGTCTTGAAGATAACTTTTTTTGTCCCATCTGGATATCCCATAAATATCCTCCTCTAGTTTTTGGATATCCCTAAGATATTTACTATATCCTTGGAGAATATCCTCAAGATATCTATAAGATTGTGTTGTGTTATATGGGAGGTGTCCATTTTTTTATAAGGATAAAACTCAGTAATCGCGATAATTTAAAAACTTGACTTTTTAACACATAACATGCCATAATTTAAGAACCACTCTAGATATTGAAACTTTTTTTATTTTGAAGATCGGATCTTTTACAATATGTTTAAATAAGAAAAATTCGATAAGGTTGTTTTTTCCATTCAAAAATTTTAAACAAACCATCCATTTACTTTTAGTGCATAGCAATTTTCAGCTATCGTGTAACTATTTATTTATAAATATTTTCACATATTGTCTGCGAAGAAAATATAGCAGAAGGTTTTAAAAAACTACAGTCAATTATTTTTAATAGATTTCGAGCTACCGACTTTTGAATTCAGAGTTCTAATAGCGCGACCACTGTCGAACGCTAACTCAATTCCACTTATTTTTACCAAAAGTGCAAGTGTTTCTAACTTGAACTTCAACATTTTCAAGCTATAGGAAAACTTACAACGACTCGTTAATAAATAAACAAAGTATCATGAGACCAAATTAAATCGTGAAGCCGAACACATGATGTACATCTTTCCCTAGAACTTTAAGTACTGAGTACTTTATACGAGTAATGAGTACTGAGTAAGTTACGGAGTACTGACAGAGGTACTGATTGGGTTAACCGGTCAACTGCGACATCTGCTATATCCCCTTCCACATCTCTTAGCAATGTGCACAGTTTCTCGGTCGATTTCATACGTTTGGCAACGTGTTTACTGTTCTCTCTTTGTTCAGTACATTATAAACGCCATTGTAGTCTTCTCACATACGGAAATCTCGACCCAAGACTAACCTTTGCCAGCCCTTAGTATGGTGTTATTGTGTGATAATCCATTAAGAGTCAAAAAGAAATTAGATATACATCCAATCAAATCGTAATATTCTATTTAAAATAGTGATGCTCTACATTCAAGGTCTATTCATTATTGCAGAACTGTGAGCAGGAACTTGCACTATTTACCCCAAATATTCTTTATTCTATTTATTTCTATTTGACCCAACGATTGTCTCTCTATTTAAATGCTATGCTTATTTTTACTATACTGTGAAATCTTCAAAAAAACATTTTGGAAAAACTTACTGCTGAAAATTCTAGTAACTAAAGTTCTCCCAAAAACAAACAATACGTATATTAATAATTATAATTTTGTTTTTATTTAGCTATGAAGGAGGAAAAATGCTCGTTGCCTCAAGGTAGAGTTATTGGAGGCGGTACTACTATTAATGCTGGCGTATATGCCAGAGGTCATCCAGAAGATTTTGACAGATGGGTCAGTATTCCCAAGAAATAAAGTAAAGTTTGTCCAACAAGAGAATATTATTTCGACAGACTACATACAATACAAAAAATTATATCTACTCTTGAATGAAAATGTAAGAAAACAATTGTCACTAACTCATATTCTTTCGCTGGATAGACTATACCTACTTGTACGCTATCAAGTGTGAACTGATTACACATGTTATCAGTCAGTGATATATCTGACCAAAATGTGTTAATTTCAAAACTGTGAGTTCAAGGAGATATTTTATTTCATTAACTTGTTATTTCTTTCCTTTTTCTTTCTCTTTGTTAGATCTAATTTCAGATTTAATTAGTATCGTCTATGTTTTGTCTGGTGCTACAATAATATTTTTTTTCCTGTTCAACATATTATACAAAATATAAATAAATATAATTAAATTAATTATTATTGTAATTACGAATTAAGTTTGTTTTTTATTCTAATTTTGCAACCATACTGATCAGTTATTGTTACAAAATTTTCAGCAATTTTCCAATTTAAATTTAATTCAAAATAATTTCTTTTCCGTCAAATGATACAAATACTAGTAATTTCGTAATTATTTCACTGGCAAGCATTATCAGAACACTAGGTATATTGATTTCCAGCAGTGATATATTTAAGTAATTACGAAATTTTGAGACATTAGTTGCTATTATTTTTTTTAAATTTTTTGAACGGAACACCATTTTGCTACACCTGTGCTTTTGCTGTTAATAATGTTTAAATAATTTATATTCTAATAATTATATATTTTAAGCGTCTATCTATTATTTGTAGTTTAATAATAGATAAAAAAACGTATAAAAAATTAATGGTTAGAGATATTTTTATAATAAAAATACCACGTGTTTTTGAAATTTATTGTTTTTTAATAATGGAAAAAAGATTATAAACGATAAAACATGATACTTGGAAATATTACAGATAATTAAAAATTATAATTTCATACTAAAAAATATGTATTAAATAAAACCATTTTATTATTAAATAATTAATTAGCTACCATTATTATCTTGAAAACGAAATGTTTTATTTAAATTTTGAATTCGTTTTAATGTTTCGAATTTATATTTAAAAAAAACATTTTTAGGAATATTAAGACATGAATAAAATTGAATTTTACATCGATCATCTTAAGGCGAATTTGAATGCTGGCATTTACTAGTAAGCTCCAATGAATGCACTAGTGAAAGTTTATTTCAAAATTAGTTGTTAAACTTTTACTGGCTATATTCTAAGTAAAAAAATAAGCAAATAATAAATAATAATAAAAAATAAGCAAATAATAAATAATAATAAAAAAATGATAAAATAATACTAATAAAAAAAAATAAGCAAATGACATGAAACGACATGAAAACTAAAGACTCGCTATAAGTTACAATTATTATTTGTTATGGTTAGTTGATCTTCTTACGTCACTCAAATTCCTTCTTCTGTGTTATTTTAGTGACACTGACATCTTCTGTACTACAAAGTTTAAATTTAGGCTGTCAACAAGAGGTTCCGTGACACTGTCATTTTAATTTATAGGTAAACATACTTTATATTAGTTAATGGTTACTATAATTTTAGTCGAATGTTTATGGTAATCCAGGTTGGTCATACGAGGAAGTCCTTCCTTACTTCAAAAAATCCGAAAACGCTGTTTTTGAACCTAGAGATTCGGACTACCATGGTGAAGGAGGATATTACACTGTGGATATAAATGCTTAAGCACTCCAGAGGTGGTATGTATCAATTAATATATTGTTCAGAAATAATTTTAATACCTATACGATTAGTTTGAGAATCTCGGCGTAATAACAAGCAGCTGAAATGTAAGTGTTAGCCAAACTATCAAGATAATACTTCTTTTATAATAATATATTATCGATTGTCAAATTGTTTATTAAAATATTTTATTTTGTCAATTGCTTCTGTCTTCTACGTTTTATTTTAATATTTTATAAATTATAATTTTATTTTGTGGTTTTCTTTTATTAGTTTATTTTTTTCTAATATAGTAATCTTCATATAATTATGGTGGATTTATTACTGGATGATCTGAGTTTACTGCTATATTATAGGGAATAAACTCTGTAATAAACATAAATTTTGCATTATGTATATTTGTATTCATATTTATAATAGCAGCTTGCATTCACTATTTATTGTTAAAAATTCTATATTTAAATGTTTTTGACTTCTAATGTTACATATTTGCTTGCCGCTTTGGTGTCTAAATATTAGGAGAATAGTCCAAATCTAGTGTTTTTAGTAAGTAGTTTTGTTAAAAGATTGTGAATTGATTAGTTTCCTGTTTAAATAAAAGAAAATAATTAAGATTAATGAAGTAAGTTACAAAAAATACAATTTTTACGATTTGATTTCATTTTATTAGGTAAAGCTATTTAAACCGCTCTTTAATGAGAAGGGTATAGACTTCATTGACGACTACAATGGCAAATACCAAAATGGAATTGCACAAGTTCAAATGTCTCTGAAAGGAAACGAACGCGTCAGTACTTACTCCGCATTTTTGGAAAACTTTACGTCCAGGTCCAATTTGAACATAAGTTTGCACAGTTTTGTTACAAAGATTGCCATTAATAATGCTACCAAAACTGCCTATGGTGCCTATTTTGTGAAGGATGGTGTGAATTATTTTGCGAAAGCCAAGAAAGAAGTTATTGTATCAGGTAAATATATCATAACTATGTTCACATATTAAGATCACATTTTATATATTAAAACAACACACATTTTTGTCTGATGATGCTCGTATGAGCCAAATACTTGCCACAATTTGACAGTTTAGTTTAATTGTTGAGACCTGCACTTTGAGACTTTTTTCTTTTTTTTTTAATTTATAAACCGGATCTTTTTGTAAAGAATGGACGCCTTCTTTAAGTCTCTTATTTACCTTAAGCCCACGAGCCACTTTATCTTAAACTCTAATGTCAAGTATTTACCTATATAAACCAATTAAAAGTAGTAAAATAAAGATTTACATTTAATAAATTGGTGAAAATTAATCGGGAAATATTCGGAGTGATAAGAAATGTATATTTTATACAAGAAAAAAGTTCAAATTTGTTCATACCGCAACATAATTTTTCAGTTTGTGATACTCACTTTATATTTTTGGTTACATTTTGTATTTAATAGTTATTATAGTATTTTTTGTAAGACTTCAACAGAACATATCGTATGATTAAAAAAGAGTGTCACAATGGCTTTTTAATAACACTTTATAATAATTTCTATCAAGCAGATTCAAATAAGTCATTTATAAAGAAACTGACATAAAAACTTAGTATTTAAATGGGAAAAAGTTAAAAGTTCGCAGACAGTGCTAATTATTTAGACGCAAATATATACAGCACAAATTATTTGCACAATCATTTCTAATTGAATAGAAATTAAATAATTAAATTTCTTGTTTAAGAAAGACTATTTTACAAAAGAAAAAAAAACTAATTAGATTTAATAATTATTAATATGTTATATTTTGTACGATTCATTCATTATATATATATAATTTTTTTTTCAATTATCGTTGGTAGTTATTAATTTTATTATATTTGATGTTCCGCTCTTGTTATAGCTGGAGGAATTAATTCTCCTCAGTTGCTTATGTTATCTGGAATAGGACGAAAGAAACATCTAAAGGAATTGAATATACCTCTAGTCAAATATCTTCCTGTTGGTAAATATTTACAAGACCATATACTGTTTTTGGGATTAATAGTTCGGTAAGATTTTCAACAAAAAAAACTTGAAAATGCATTATTCTGCAATTTTCAGGATATTTTGTAACTTTGGCAAATATTTCTAGCAGAGCTGCAACCATAGAAATGCTTTAGATGCACCTTTTTATTATTAACGTTTTGAAAATAAATATATTCTTCGTAAAAGTTTTTGCTTGTTCTAAAATTGTTAATCCCGTTTATATTTTTCCAAATTTTCATACAGTTTTAGAGGAAAAAGGAGGTGTATTGAAACTAAAAGAATTTCGGACTTTTCAGAACCCAGTGAGCAATATTTTGTCACATTTAAGGGACAGTTACGTATCTGCCGTTTTATTCATACGACCAATTGCACACACAGTTTCGAAACTGTTACTTTTACTTCTGAAGCACGCTGACGCAACGTGTTTTATGCAAAAATTCGGAATACTGTTAATGCATGTGTGAACTAATATTTTGTGTTTTAAGACACTTATCACTCTTTTTAATACTACTTATTTTTTTTTAAATTTGCCAAAAAAATTATTCTCTCACACATCGTTGTCGCAAATTATTTCTTACTAAATGGCTTCAAAAGTGTTCCTACTACTGTAGTTCAATAATTACATGCGCCGGAAAATTTTTCGTGTAGTTTTTTTGATATATAAAAGATAGCAACAAGGGCTAAAACACAAATATTATTTAGCAAAAATATTTTTTAATAAATTAATTTTGCTAAAAAAAATTACAATATAACATATCAAGTACGTAAATGGTCCGCGTTACGGGTAGGGTGAATATGTTCATTGTGCATTGTGCATTGTTCATTGTGCCATTTAAGAATTGTTATCGTGGTGGCCGGTGGCATATACGTTATAGTGAGAATCGCGCCTAATATGTGCTAGTAGTAATCCGCACGCTTTACTTTTCTGTAGTAAGAAGAGGTAATTTTATAATATCGCAGATCACACGAGTTTCTTATTTGGCGACGACGTATTTTATATTACACAGATCGAAACAAACCTCTCTTGATCTGGATCGATTAATTTCTATTGTGCGAGTTAACTACTGGTTAAAATGCCTTTATAGCGTTACGCTGAACTTGTGACGGTTTATACAATTTTTGGGCCTAGTTACTGTTTTCCGTGATGTACAAATGAACTTTATAGGTTTAAGAACAAAATTCCTACTATGCCTAACACTATGCATTCCACAATAATGTCTTGTGTTTTTTAAAGGCACATACGTCAGTACGTCATTGTTTTAACACCATTACTACTAAATGTCAGTTATAATTTGCATTCGAGTAACAGTTCCTTTTGTGTTAACACAATTCCTATTTTGTGTAATATTATTATTCCTTTTTTAAGTCAACTTAGGCAATTTTATTTTGGTGTGTTATTTGAAGCAAAAGAAGGGCCTGATGGTAACGTAACAACGACGTCACCTAGAACACATTTCCCTCCATTAGCGTAACTAGCAATTTACCTTGGGATGGGCCTGGGGGGAGGGGGGGCTGGGGTTGAGCCCAGTGGGGGCTTAGGGTCTTTGTTTTCTTAAAAATGAAAAATAATTTTCAAAAACACATTTTTTGAATAAAACGTTTACATGAATTTCTCTATCAATAAATTTCATAAACTTGGTTATCAAACCGTGTTCCCGTAGATTACTTAAATACCTACAAATTTTCTAAAAAAAATAAAAATTAACACATTTTTTGAACACAACAAAATAATATTAACTAAACAAAACTAGAAAACGTCATTTTTACTGCATCACAAGCAAATAAAAATTAATACGTAGCCAAGAATCATAATTCAGGATTTCTCTGGGGGGTGCCCAGCAGGACCAGGGGGGGCCCGGGCACCCCTGTAGTTACGCCAATGTTTTCCTCAAAGGAATAAACTGCTCACTGGGAAGCGTCCTATCAAAACAAGGCCAGAATCATTGAAACAAGAGAAAGAGAGCATCTACCAGGTACGTTGTGAATGCGGTGAGTCGTACATTGCAGAGACTAAACGTCTCCTAAATGTACGACTTGGCTAGCACAAAAAGGTGAAACAATGAAGTCAGGTATTGGGGACCATGTTTGGCCAAAACAGCACAATATACAGTGGTCGGAAGCTCGGGTTGTCCACAGGAAACCTCATTGGAAAAAGCGTAAATTTAAAGAAGCCGTTTTTATAGCAAACAATAATAACATCTTTAGCAATCATAGTACGGAAATATCTACGATATGGCTACCACTGATAAAACGTACCGATGCAGGAATTCTAAGTGGACAACCTCACGTTTAACTGCACCCAAGTTCATAAATGCCTGTTTGTAATATAAAAGCTCAGTAATTTTAGGAATTAGACAGTTTATACTTGATAACACTCAGTGATCCTTCTGACCGAAACGTTTTGTTAATCAAAATAAATAAAGACAATGGAAGTCCGAAATTCTTTTAGTTTCAATAAAATAGTTTTAATGAGCAGGTTAAAGAATGCTCTTAAAATTAACGAATACTCTTATAAAAAAATTAAAAATGAACATTAATAAAAGGATTTTCTTTTTCTGATATGTTTAGGACGAACAGAATATTCTACAATCAAACTATGGCTGAAATGCTGAAACTTTATGAAGAAAATCAGCGCCCTCTCATGACCGGTTTTCAGGTGGAACTCGTGTCATTTACCAATTTCGGTAGAAACCAGAGCATCAGACCCGATATAGAGTATATTATTTCCACACCACCACCAAGCAGCAGTCAATTCGAAATTTTTTTTGGGTAAAAAAATAAAATTACCTTAACATTAGTCAGTATATCTCTGAAAGATATTTTTAGTCTATATATTTAGTCTCAGTATATAAAAGTATACAACTTTTTAATATTCTATTACAACAGTCGGACTTATACACTTTGTATATACTACTAAGAGATACTACTAAGAAAGAAAGGTGCCCCGTGGCGTAGAGGTACAAGCTCTCGTCTACCAATCTCAAGGTGTGGGTTCGATTCCCACACCCGACATTTCATCAGCCGACTGTTTTTATTAAAATAAAAATAGTTTGGGTACCTAGGTCGACTCAGCCTTAAATGAGTACTTGGGATTCACAATCCTGAGGTAATAATAGGCGGTTGAAGCGTAGTGCTAGCCACATTACCTTCCTTGTATACCGAACGGCTCTAGTATAGCAAGCTGTACCTTGCTACTCCCAAGGCGTCAAAACGATATATACGGGAGCTATTATTATACTACTAAGAAAAATATTTTTGTATTGCATCTTTATTGAATTTATCACTGTACGATGTTTCAGCATAAAAGATTCTTACATGGACCCTTTCAACATCAACACCAGCAGTGATATCTTAATCTACACTTGTCTGATGCACCCCAAATCTCGAGGTTCCGTAACTTTGAAATCGAATTCTCCATTGGATAAACCTCTGATCAATCCCAACTACTTGGCCGAAGATGAGGATATAGAAACCTTGTATCGCGGAGTCGAACTCATTTTGAGCATGAACAACAGTCAGATTTTGAAGAATTATGAAGCTTATATAGTGGATGTCGAATATCCAAATTGTGTATCGTACAAGAAGTCTAGTAAGGAATGGTGGTTTTGTGCAATTAGACAATTCACTTCTCCAGTAAGTAGATTAAAAATGCTATATTGTGGTTTTTAAAAATGGGGAGATCAGGCTGTGATTGTATACTTGCATTTCCTTCATTCTTGTAATGTTAAGAATTAAGAACATTGTAAAACGCATTGAATAGTTCATTTAGTTTGTTTCTATACAATGTTTAATGGCTTCGTATAACTGCGATTGATTTTTGAAGATAAACGCATTTTTTTTAATAAAACAATGAGTTAATAAATATTCTCTTTTTTGCTACAGTAGTGGAAAATCTTGAAGTTTTTGTAATACACAGGTAAGATGGTATTCTAAACTCTAATTTTCATGTGGCGGAAGCCTTCATAATGGTTCTATTTTTTATATTTGATGTGATTTGTTAAGCAGGGTTGGAAAAAATCATGATTTTAAAAAAAAATTAAATCGGATTTTTTTGATTTTAATTCAAAACAATATTTAAATCGGATTTCCAAATGACTAGGACTTATTTCCAATTAAATTCCTATCTTAAATGGCTAAAGGCTGATTCATGGTACACCGTGACGGGCCGGGGCCGTGCGACGGTGAAGGCACGGCCAAACATTGTCAAATGTTATTTATACTTATGCATTCATGCTAAGCCGAGCACGGGCCGAGCTTCGCCGGAACGCGTCCGTGCCCCGTCCGAGAAATGTCGGTGTACATTTTTCCTCGGATCCGCTACGGTCCGGCCCCGTTGCGGCAAACATATGAGTCGCCCGGGCTAAATACTTCGTTCGTCTACGGGCCTATAGCGACTGTTTTCTAGCAGTGTTGCCGCACCCAACTTTTAGCGCCGTACCACATTATAAACTAAAAATGTACCACTACAATTTTACAAATTTTTTAAAGCACAACAAAATACATCTGCAAATGACTTTAACCGGTTTGGTCGCTGTGAATTTCTTCATAAATTTCTGCATAAAAAAACTTCCTGGAGAAAGACACAAATCGAGACGAAAAACATGAAATAGAAATTCAGAAAACCCAATTATAAGTATGTATAGGTTGAAGAAATCTAAGTAATTCTAATACTACACACAATACTTGGAAAACTTAAATTTTATTAAAAAAACGCAAAATATAGAAGCATGTTAGAAACAGTAAATTTTCAAGTTTTTTCTTCGGGTTATTTAATATAGGCAACGCTATAGACATTACAACGTTTATAATACGTCGTTAATTAATGCGGATTGTCTCCGAATGGTATCGGTAAGCGCGTTTAATGCAATATCAACGACAATAATTATTAAATATCTATTCATTTTCGGTGCGCGTGGGAAATAATTATTGTACCAAATCATCCTGGATTTGAAAATGTAGTACCACTGTACCAAATAGAATTAAAAGTATCAAATTTGATACAAATGTACCACTGCTGCAACACTGTTTTCTAGAATATAATCGGCACGGACATGATCCCCGTTGTCAACTCGGTGTAGCATATATTGAAGGCCCGGACGTGGCTCGGTGTCTACTTTACGGAACGTGCCCGGCTCGGGTACGGCCCGGTGTACCATGAATCAGCCTTTAGTCTTTATAACTCTGAGCGATACCGATAACATTAACAATTCTACGGCGCGTGTCATTTTTCCACATCGGTCACCAATATTTTCCGCAAAAAAAGTCGCTCGCTTCAGATCAAAAGGATTTTTTTTCAAACGTCTCAAAAGTATTAATTTTTGTCATTTTACCGGCTAGGCATAAAAGTAACGCACTGATACGCTTAAGCACAAAAGTACAAAAATTATTAAACTGATATTAAGTGTCAAATTCAACGAGTGTATAAATTGTTTCTCTATTACTGTTCGTATTATTTCGTATTATTTGCAACTTGATTAAAAAATTATTTGTAATGTTTTAAAAAAATAGTGTTTTATTCTGAGTAAAAATGTACTTTTTGTGTCTCCTTGTAACGTCGGAATAGATAACAATTATAAATTTTCGGGAATGAAGATATAGTCTCTATATCAGAAGAACCTGGTTTTACACTAGTCTGCGAATGATATGTATTATATACAGGGTGGTCCATCCAAAACGTTCCGCAAGGCATAACAGCCAGGGTACTTTTTTTTCAAAAAATCCAAAAACACGTCAATTTTGTTTGTGAGGGGGACAACTTTTGGCCCAAAAATGATTGCAAAATCTTCAACCCTCTAAGCGGGGTTGTCATCCCCCAACTTTTTTCAAATGGGAACGGGGGTAAAGTGGCGCCGCAATAAAAAGGGCTTTCTATTTTCTATATTTCTCCGCTTCGTTTTTAAACATCGATCTAGTCATTTTGAAAATATGAATGATGCAAAAAAACGCATAAATTGAATTAATTAAAAAAAACTTAACTTATTAATGAAGCAAATGCTCAAAATGTTGCCCGTCAACCTCCATACAGTAATACAAATTATTTTCAAACCGTTCTCGAACATTCTGAAGAACTTGCGGGGTCACTTCGCGACAAACATCAATAATTCGTCTTCGCAGGTCTTCTAATAAGGCGGTTGGAGTGCTATATACTTTACTTTTTATGTCTCCCCATAGAAAAAAGTCTAAAGGACTCAAGTCGGGTGACCGGGGAGGCCACTCAATTGCACCCCTTCGTCCTAACCACCGACCGGGAAAGTTATTGTTCAAAAATTACGCACATTTTGAGAGCAATATGGAGATGCACCGTCTTGTTGAAATATTAGTTGAAATATTATATTCCGCTTCAACGTATCCAGGATTGTTCTCTATGATGTCAGTTAGGGCTGGGTCGATGGTATTTTCCAGTAAATCCAAGTACATATCATCTGTTGGATTTCCAGGAAGAAAAAAAGGACCCACAATAGAATTTCCAAAAATACCAACCCACACGTTCAATTTCTGAGGGTTTTGTGTGTGCACCTCGTGAAAAACCCTGGGGTTGTCCTCAGCCCCAGTACCGACAGTTGTGCCGATTAACTACACAACCGTTCAAAAAGAAAGTACACTCATCCGAAAAACACACATTAAATAGGAAATTATTATCATTGGTCACTCGTTCACTCATAGTTTCACAAAATTGCAAGCGACGATCAAAATCGTCTTCGTTGAGTTCTTGTACCAACTGAATTTTGTACGGATGGAAGTTGTGTTTTTTTAATATCCTTTGACACTTGTACGATTCACGCCGGTCATTGACTAATTTTCTTGTACTCAGCGTACTATCCATGGCAACTTGGCCCAATACGAATACCTCCATAGCTTCATTTACTACAGGATTTTCCCTCTGCCTCTTTTTATTCATAACGAAACCAGTTTTTTGCTACTAACTCGCGAACAATTTTGCCATAAACTTGTTTGTCAGGATGGCGTTCATTGAATATCTGCGCAACCCGATTGCCACATTCATTATTTTTAAAATTTAGTTCGATTATTTCCACTTTTTCTGCAAGTGAGTACACCATAATTGTTAAAAAGTTTAACGATATTGAGAAAAACTTCAACGCACAAGTCACAGAACAGCTATCTAGCAACTACCCCACCTGATCGTTCAACCTTGTGGCAAGTGAAAAAATGCGTAAACATCTAGAAATAATAAGAAAAAACAGCAAATTGGTTGAAGGAATTTGTCCTTGTCATTTACTCGGATAAATGTTTAAATAAACTTTTCAAATTTCAATCCTTCATATTTTCTCAATGACTCGACCGATTTTCAAAAACAAAGCGGGAAAGTATAGAGAATAGAAAGCCCTTTTCATTGCGGTACCACTTAACCCCCTTTCCATTTGAAAAAAATTGTGGGATGACACCCCCGCTTAGAGAGTTGAAGATTTTGCAATAATTTTTGGGGCAAAAGTTGCCCCCCTCACAAACAAAATTGACGTGTTTTTGAATTTTCTGAAAAAAAAAATTACCCTGGCCGTTATGCCTTGCGGAACGTTTTCCACGGGCCACCCTGTATAACTCTTATACATAAATTTTTAAATAGATCCCTGCGTTTAGCTGTTTTATGGATTCACACGAAATTACTTCAAAAATCGGTTCAACATTTAAATTGACGAATAGATATTTTTATATAGTTTTATAAAATTTACAATTATTTTTCGATTTATTATCTGTTATATATTATCTGTTATAGAAATATTTTTATAGTTTTCTAAGACAGATTTTTATAACTTATACATTTATTTTTTGATTTATTATAAAGTTTCAATAATTTTTTTTTTATTTAAATCACATTATTAAAATTTAAAAAATCACTTGATTTATATCACGATTTAAATCATGATTTAAATCATGCCAACCCTGGTTAAGACATATGATTTCGGATTTGATGGTACAGATACTTACTTGCCAGGTGTCCTACCCATTGCCATTTGAGGTGTTTTTTTTTCATTTGGTTCCGTGAATGACACCTATTACCGGGGTTATTTGTCCTATCCCCTATCTTTTACGATCTGTCCTGGTTATTCTCGGCATATTTCGTTGCATTGAGAGCGTTTTGCCACTTGCAGTTTCCTTATGATATCCGTTTTAAGTGTCCAGGTTTCGCATGCATAGGTCATGACTGGTAGTACACATTGGTCGAAAGTTTTCTTGTTTAAATAGATTGGCATTCTAGATTTGAATATGATTGAGTTTCTTCCATAATTACTCCATGCTAACTTAAGTCTTCTGTTCATTTCTGGTAGTAGAGATCCAGAGCTTTTGACCAGTTGCCCCAAATATATATATTCTTCTACTATTTCCAATGTTGTGTCATTTATTAGAATTAATTTTATTGCATTTCTTTCTTCAAATTCATTTATTTCTCATCCACTAGTCAAATCTTTCCACTAGTTCGTTGTACAGGGTGGGTCAAATTCGACGCTTTTAAATGGAAACACCCTTTTCTATAGGAGATAGACGAAAACTAATATCGGTGTCTGGAGCTCAATTTTCATCAAAAACATGATGGTGAAAACCGCACATCAATATCTTTTACCGTTTCGGAGGTACGGGGTGTTTTTCAACAATGTGCATTTTTAATAAATCGCTGTAACTTTTTTGCTATGGAAAATTTTGTATTTTTGTGAAAACATTTCCAAAGCACCTTTTTACTTAGAGTTTAATGGTTTAAGTATAATTTTTTTTAAATTAATAATTTAAGAGTTATCAACAGAAAAATTGATTTTTTATTTGGGACACCCTCTATATTTTTAATTAACTGTAAAGAATTTAAAATTACCTTTCCAAAAATATAGCACACAATCCCCTTCGAAATACAGAATTTTTAAAAGTTCGCCACTTTTAACTAGTAGGCTTTGGACCCTTTATTGATGATATGCCCTTAATGGAACTCGAAAATACATTTTTCCAGCAAGACGACTCTGAACGCTGAAGTTATCAGCAAATTTTTGCAGCCAATTTCAAGAATAATTGAATAACTTACCACGATCCCAAACTTTGGCCGTCGAGGGCGCCTGACTTAGTGCCCATAGATCTAATCCTATGGATATATTTGAGGAAGAATAAAGGTTATTATTCCGTATAATCTAGACAAGAATTAGAAATACTTAGCAGTTATGAGAGGGTATCTTTCACCCCCACTGAGTTAATGAATTCCGCGAGAAATGTTCAAAAACTGCCCAGTCTGTCCATAACAGAAGACGGTTGATATTATTTTTATTGTTATTAGATATAGTTTAAATGTGTTGATATTGGTTAAATATATTTTAAATTGTTATAAAATTCTGCATCTCTCAACAAATATTATTTTCGTTTTAACTGATGCTCACAGCTTGAATTTTTTGCATTATAGCCGGTGCCGTTCAAAGCCTACTCATTTAAAGCAAATTTTTATATACTCTATATCTCGAAGAGGAATCGAGCAAAATATCAAGTATGTTATATTTTTGGAAAGGTAATTTTATAATAATAAACTAAAAATATACAGGGTGTCCCATATAAAAAATCAAATTTTCGGTTGATAATTCTTAAATTATTAATTTAAAAAAAATTATACTTAAACCATTAAATTCTACGTAAAAAGGTACTTTGGAAATGTTTTCATAAAAATACAAAATTTTCCATAGCAAAAAAGTTACAGCGATTTATTAAAAATGCAATTTTTGAAAAACACCCCGTAACTCCGAAACGGTAATAGATATCGATATGCGGTTTTCACCATCATGTTTTTGACAAAAATTGAGCTCCAGACACCGATATTAGTTGTTGTCTATCTTCTATAGAAAAGGGTGTTTCCATTTAAAAGCGTCGAATTTGACCCACCCTGTACATTACTTTAATTTTTGCTAAATTCATTTTCAGATCAACTTTATTGCTGGCTGTATTTAGTTCGTTAATTTGTGTTTGTAGTTCTTCAGGACCATTGTCAATTAGGACTATGTCATCAACGAATCTTAGATGGTTTGGTTGTAAGATATGCTCCATCTATTTTTAATCCTTTATTGGTCCAGTCCATTTGACGGAAGATTTGTTTAAGTGTTGCTGTAAACAGCTTTGGGGATATCGCGTCTCCCTTTCGTACTCCTTTGCCAGTTGGGAAATCTGGGGTTGTTTTATATATCATTATTTTAAATATACCACCCCTTTATATTTTAATTAATAATTATACCGTTTTACTCTGTTATTAAATATATGTATTTTAATTTTCTGTAGATTTATCATCCAGTCTCAACTAATAGAATGGGTCCAGATCCAAAAACTTCAGTTGTCAACGCTCACTTACAGGTCCATGGAATGAAAAAGTTAAGGGTAGTGGATAGCAGCGTGATGCCAGAATTGAATTCGGGTCATACCACTGCACCTGTTCTAATGCTGGCTGAAAAAGCTTCGAATATTATAAAAAAACAACACAATAGATATTGAATTTATAACTTGCTATAGTTTAATCACATGTTGAGAAATAAGAAAATATTTATAGATACCATATAAATTATAGTTTAGTGTTTAAATACATTATAATTTATATGAAATCCTTATAATTGGAGTTTTATTTATTAAAGGAGTATTATTATCTATTAAAATAAGTTAAATAATAATAATAAGAATAATAATAATAATGACTTTATTGTTCTAAGTAAACAAAAATACAATTTTTAACGATATTAATTATTAAAAGTAGAACAAGGGCGAAGTTCAGCTCTTACCGAACAGCGGCCGGTGAGCTGCTCTTCCACTTAACCCAACTAGATATTAAAAACAAGAATATATTCAATATATGTAGTAGTATTACACTGCTCAACCCAACATGCTGAACCTAACAAGCTGACATGGTGAAACAAAAAAAAACATATTACAAAAATCCAAATAGCATCCCAATGGTTATCCAAACGTGCGCCTCCTCACCTCTCAGGTACATTGAATCTGATATAGATTATTCCAGCATTTTAATTTAAATTTTGATATACTTAATTTTTTTGTATCATCTGGGACACTGTTGTATAATTTACAAATTTGATAAGTAAAGCCACGTTTAAATAGTTCTGTTTTAAACTGAGGATGTGTGAGCCGACCTTTACACCTTATATTTATATTGTGAACATCAGTCCGGAAAGTTAATTTCTCATACAAGTACGGAGGACACTTAAAAATTAGAAGTTTATGAAAAAAACACAGTGACTGAAGAGTACGTCTGTTTTCCATATTTAGCCACGATGTTTCTTTTAATTTATGCGAAATTCTTTGGAATTTTCGAATGCCGTATATGAGGCGTAAGCATGAGTTCTGGATTTTCTGGATATTTCTTTTAGAATTGGTTGTTAAAAAGGGACCATATACGCAACTAGCGTAATTAAAATTTGACAGTACGAGTGCCTCGCACAACATAGATTTAACAGCAATAGTTAAAAGATCCCTAACCCCATATATAACCTTTATAGCAGCATACGATCGCTGAATCAAAACAGTAATGTGTCTTTCAAAACGTAGTTGAGAATCCATTATTACACCTCAATTTTTTGCTTCGTTACTTACTGGTAATACATTTCCATTAATAGATATTTTCATGTATTCTTTTAAAAGGGACAATTTGTTTTTAGGGCCAAAAAAGATAATATTTGATTTATTTGGATTTATAATAAGACCGTGTCCATTTGCCCTGTTTGTAAATTCTTCGAGTTGTTTATTAACTAATGCAGAGGCAAGGTCTAATTTTTCAAATGGGAAACTATAATATAATTCTGTATCATCAGCATAACAGTGTACTTTACAATATTGACAACTAGTTATAAGATTTGCTGAATATATATTATAAAGGAGTGGGCCCAATATCGAATCCTGAGGAACACCGAATTTTAGACTTAAGACGTTTGACTTAAGATTGTTATCCAGCACAACTTGCTGAGTACGATTTTTAAAAAGTTTTCAATGAGATCATTAGCTTTATCTGAGATACCAATGTACTTAAGGATAGACAATAATAAATCATAATTTATGGTATCGAATGCCCTACTCAAATCTAATAATATTAAAACTGTACAATTACCAATATCAGTCTGTTTTACAATATCATCCACTACACTGAGGAGCGCTGTTGTACAGCTATCATTTTTCCTAAAGCCTGATTGAAATTTTGGAAGCAGGGTTTTCCGGTCCAAATATTCCTTAAGCTGTAACTCCCTTGCGCGTTCTAGAATTTTTGAGAGAGTAGGCAGTATACTTATTGCTCTAAGATCTTTATATTCAGTAGGACTAGGTTTCTTTGGTAATACATGCACAAGAGCGCCCCTCCATGCGGTGGGAAATACACTGTTTATGAGACAAAAGTTTATTATATGGGTAATATATGGAATGACATGTGGGCAGCACAGTCTTATTAATTTTATATTTAAGTCATCAGAGCCAACTGCATTAGTTTTAATCTTAATAATTGTGTTGAAAATAAACAATTCGTCAACTTCTTTAAAACAAAATTTGTTAACTAAAATTTGGTTATTTTTGTAAAACTTTAAGAATTCATCAACACTACTGTCAGTTATAACTGAATTAATAAAGTAGTCGTTTATTGCATCCGGATTCCTCAACTGTTCGGGAATGACGTGTCCCCCCAGGTAAACAACTATTGACTTTTAAAACTTTCCATGTTTCTTTTGAGTTTTTATTATCGATAGAGTTAAATTTATGTAAGAAATAAGCGCGTTTTTCTCTTTTTATAGCTTTATTGACGTAGTTTCTCATATCTCTGTAAAATCTGAAATGTATATCAGACTTGGTTCTTTTGTACTTGTTTAACGCCATTATTTCGTATTTTTATCATTAATTCAATAGTTCCTGTTAACCAGGGGGACATGGGTTTAGAAATTCTAGCCACTCTAATAGGGGCATGTCTATCGAAACGTTTATTTCGTTTTTTTGCACCATTGCATTCCAAATTGTTGTTTAAAATATTTAAAACAACTTGATAAATATCACCATCCTGCGATTCAGGTACACCCTTCAGAAGTAAATCGTTTTTGTAGGAATTTTGTTTTTCGCTTTCTATCGTTTCAGATAGCTCCTCGTATGTCGACAACAAAATATTGATGTCTTTCTTAATAGTACTCAAAGAGTTACTTATATCACTTTCAAATTTTTTAAATTTCTTCTGTATATCCTGAAGAGCCTTACTGTCATGGACCTCGTTCTTCTTGCCACTGGAAGTGGTAGCTTTGGCCAGTTCACTTCTGAATACGTTCAACTCTGCATCTACTGTACTCACTACGTTACTCTGGCGATTACGCAAAGTACGACCACTTTTTCCACGATTTGACATACTGTAAACTGGTCACTGTCAACTAACTGGTACAAACAAAAATAATAACTTTAAATAAAATGAAATAGCCACGTAAATAACAACAATTTTTGCGGAGCTCCGCGATACACGTCTACTCTTCGCTGTGCATCGTACTACTCTCATTTAATCTCTAGTAGTATGTTCAACGAAAGGATATCTTAAATTAGTAACGTGGAAAAACTTAACAGTAGGAAAATTAATATTAACTAAATAAGTTGGTAGGATTTAAATAGTGTAGAAGTGTTTCTAGGGCACTGATAAGCGCAAACTATAAATTTGCAAACTGCAGTCTCTAGCAAAATTTAGTTTACTATCATGGTTTTGTTTTTCTAGTTTTAATTGTTTAAATCACTGCATATTATCTATTTGTAATACTGATAAAGTTTTACTTATTAATCTTTAAAGAATACTTGTTTAACTTTATATGTTATGAAGGCGTGGTAAATAGCATTCATAGCAATACATATTGGAATATGTAGCGGGATTCAATTATCTCGGCAGTTTAATTTCGGAAAAGGCCAATATCGACTTTGAAATTCAGCACAGGATTAGCTGCGCCTCAAGAGCATTCTGGAAATTAAAAGAGAGAGTTTTCTACAATCCTGACTTGAGTACAAAAACGAAATTCGCAATGTACCGAGCAACAATAATTATCAACATGTTATACGAGCCCTAACAACTATATGTTGGGACAAGGTCATATTTTGGAATTATTGCCCTGGTTTTTCAAAATGACTGAAAAATATATGTTTAATTTTTTAAATATAAACATAGCCATATATCCTAAACAACTTGACAATATTTTTATGAATTTGTAAATCAATCCATATTTACAGTAGCGGATTTTGTTCATAAAAGGACAAATTTGCCTGACAACTAAATGTTGGGACAAGTATTTTTAAATAATTAATATCATAATCATGCGGTTTTAATATCAGGCGGCTTTGCTATAAACGTCACAAATGTCGCAAACTGTTTACTTCAGCCTGCTTCAGCATTGACAGCTTGTAAGTGACTCGATACTTTGAGTAGTGAGACTTACTGTAATTATATTTTTTTTTAATTTTCAATTTTGTTAATTTAATCCAAAGAATGGTCCGTGGAAAAGCTACAAATCAAAAACTACGCAAAATTATCATTCGTCAATACAGTACGGGAAAAACAATTCGAAAAATTTCTGATGATTTAAGTATTCCAAAAACCACGGTCTTTAATATAATAAAAAAATACGGCGAATCTAGAAATGAAATATAGTATGTATATACTATCTATGAAAGAGGTAAATTCGGGAAGGCCAAAAGTTGTATCTCGTAGTAAACATTTGCAAGTCTGCGAGGAGAAGTACTCTTCGCGAAGTAACAGTTAAATGGAATACTGTAACTGGATTAAATATATCAGGAGAATGTTGCCGAAAATATATCCATAAATGCGGTCTGGGGTTTTACAAGGTAAACTTTATTTTGTGTGGATAATCAATTACCTGAAGATTATTGATACAAATTCTTATTTAGGCCAAAGAAAAACCGCTACTGACAAAAATTCAAAAGAAAAATCGCTACAATTGGGCAAAATCTAAATTACCGTGGACACAAAATGATTGGAGTAAGGTCATATTTAGCGATGAGTCTAAATTTGATGTTTGCGTTGGAGATCATCGAAAAAGAATAATACGAAATAAAGCAGAAGCCTTTCATAAAGATTGCTTAAAGAGGGTTGTTAAATTTCTTAAGGGGATTATGGTTTGGGGTTGCATGTCAGCAAGAGGTTTGGGCAAATTAAATTTTATAGATGGCACTGTTAACGCCCAAAACTATCAACATATACTTGAGACCTCACTTTTGCCTAGTGCTCAAGAATTGTTTCCAAACGAAAGCTATATTTTTCAACAAGATGGAGCATCGTGCCATTCAGCAAAATCAACTAAAAATTGGTTCGGTAATAATAATCTAAAACTTCTATCCTATTCTGCAAGTAGTCCGGACCTCAATGTTATAGAAACTGTGTGGCATAAAATGAAGCAATATTTAAGAAACCACCCTCAACGAACAATTTTTGATTTGTGGACAAAACTGCAGGAAATTTGGGATACTTTTTCTCCTCAAATGTGCCAATCTTTGGTAAATACAATGCCATTAAGAGTTCAGGCAGTTGTTAAGGCGAAAGGTGATGAAGTAACTCCG